ACGAAATGAACATACATGTAGTACGGTAGGAAATGCAGAAAAACTTTTATAGGATGTAGGTACAAGTAAGCAGGTAATTATCAGGTAATCTTATTTTTATTTTGTTTTGAAAAATCTTAAGCCCTTAAGCAGGCAATTATAAGGTAATCTTATTTTTATTTTGCTTTGAAAAATCTTAAGCCCTTAATATTTATTTGCTTTCTAATACTAGGTATTAAAAACCCTAATTGTAGTTAAGACCCTTAATTGATTTTATTGCCACCTTAATTTTGTAATTCCAAACAGCTCTGGCCATTAAATTTTAATTTCTTAATCAAGAAGTTTCTTTTTCAGATTCTTCCCAAGTAACAATTTGATATTTTATAAAAGCTGAAAAAATGTTTACAGAACAAAATTTATAAAATAGAATATTAGCTAAGAACATTTCCGGAACATTCTTTCAACACTAATAAACACAAAATGGGCGCAGTATTACATAACTATTTGGTTCTTTTGTAAATTCTATAAGATTTGTTGAATGCAGTTACCGAACAGTTACTACACATTTACACAGACTTTAAACAAATGTTTTTTTATACTTTTATAACTGTTTTATAAATTTTCAATTTTGAGGTAAGGTTGCATATCAAAATCAGTAACATTTTAGTTTTTTAAATGTATCTGGTGAAAACAAATTAATTCTATATTTGTCATAAAAGTAAATTCAAGGCGATATTAGTAAAATGGCAGTATCTACTTAAGAGATATCTATAACGCGGTTTAGACATAATGTATGACTTACAATAAAGTCGTTTTTGGATGCGCAGCAAGAATTACTGTTAATTATATAGCACATGCAATACTAAATTTTTAAGCGCCTCGAGTTTGATTCATATTTCTAATACTTTTTCAGTGTGAAACAAAAATTAAATTTATGCAATTTGATTTTTTTTAGTAATAAGATTATACTAATATTACTAAATGAACACACATGTAGTACGGTAGGAAATGCAGCAAATGTTTTTCTGCAAAAAATGAATACCACTGTGAAGCACCTGGTCGCGACAACGATGGAGAATCCTGCCCAAATCAGAGGACGAGTTTTGGAGAATGTACCAGCTGCGGTTAAAGGAATGCTTCCAAGTTCCAGTGTTATGCGGAGAAACATTCAAAGAGTAAGAGTAACCATGTGCAAAGCACCCGCCAATCCAGAAACTCTTAGTGAAATTATCATCCCAGAAGTGTACTCGCAATATTATTACAGCCCTACTCAATTTGAGAATTTTTTGCTGGCAGATTCCGGAAGAGATCAAGTGGATCCACATCGAATTCTAATATTTGGTAGAGAATACCATGCAACATGGAGTGCAAGCATGAAAGAATTATTTGTTGACGGCACATTCTTATTGTGTCCTCCACTTTTTGCTCAAATATTTGTTATTCTGGCAAGAAAAGATACGCATGAAGAGAAGGGTCCAGTTTTTCCTGTACTATATTGCTTGCTGCCTAATAAAAGTGCAGAAACATATCTCAATGTGTTTAACATGATAAAAGTTCTTTGGCCGCAATTAAATCCGGAAAGCATCAGTGTCGACTTTGAGTTGGCAATTCACCAGGTCGTAAGACAAGTTTTCCCAGAAGCCGAAATTAGAGGATGCTTATTCCACTTGGTCAAAAATCTTCGAAAGCATTTATCTTCTTGCAATCTCCTAGGAATGTACAATACTGATCCCGAATTTGCACTACAAGCAAAAATGGTAACATCATTGGCATTTGTCCCAGAAGAGGATGTGATTGAGGCCATTGCCGAATTGGAAAATGAGTTGCCAGAAATATTAGAACCAATTTTAGAATGGTTTACCAGCAATTATATCGGTCGACTTAGGAATAATGGAACCAGAGTGCCAGCAACTTTTCCATCAGCAGTTTGGTCCGTTTATTTTCGAACATTGAATGGACGAGATAGGACAAATAATTTTGCAGAAGCATGTCATCGCAAGTTGCAACTGGCTTTTGGTTCTGGCATTGCTCATCCTTCGTTATGGACATTCATAGATAATTTAAAAAAGGTACATTCTTCGTACGATGCAGACTATAAACGAGCAATTGCCGGGCGCAATGGCGCATCAAAAAGGAAACGTTATGAGGAAGCCGACGAGAGGATTTTAAATAAAGTGGCCAATTATAACAGGCAAAATTTGATCGAGTATCTCAGAGGGATATCACATAATTACAACATGAATATTTTTTTTTATATTATATTGTATTATAATAAATATATGTATTATAAATAATTGTAATGTGTATTATAATAAATAACAATATTCTATAATCAACCTTTTTTTATTTCAGTTTTTATTTTTTAATTCCGTTTCAGCATATGTTACTTAAATTTTTTTATTTCATAACCTAATATTTTAATATATTATATCTTATTTTTATTTTGCATTGAAAAATCTTAAGCTCTAAATTTTCCCTTAATATTTTAATTTGCTTTCTAATAATATGTATTAGAAACCCTAATTGTAGTTAAAACCCTTAATTGATTTTATTGCCACTTTAAAAATCTCTTATATATTTTTATTTTATTAATCAAGTTCTCCAATCAATTTTTTTTTATAGATTGTATATTATATTGTATTATAATAAATAATTGCATATTATATTATTGTATTCCTTTTCGCCGAGTTGATCGTCGCCGAGTTTACCATCGTCGAGTTGGCCATCGCCGACTTGGCATCGCCGAGTTGACCGTCGCCGGCTTTGCATCGCCGAGTTGTCGCGTACCGTCTGATTTCCGTGTCGAAAATTATATCAATATAGTTAAAAGGTTTAGTGACCAAAACCAAAAATCTTAAATGTGTTTTATTATTGTTCTGAAGCCACCCAAAATATCAACATTACACAAGGAAAATCTTCTATTGGAGTAACCGTAGAAGTATTTTTATAGTATAAATCTTCGCCTTTGTTATAAATATAAAAAAATTACATGGAAGAATCGCATACTTTGATTACTATACGGGGCAAGAGAGAGGTCCGACACGCCCAACATAGGGCGCGGCCATTTTGATTCCTATGACACAGTTTATAGATAAAGAATCAGATCGCTCACTCTTCGTCGGCATTTTTGATCTCAGTATTCCAGTTTATACACTGCGCAACTCGGATAATACAATATATGACAACCGCCTATAATAAAACAGCAGTCTTCTGCTTATCCTGAATTTGTATCCCTGGAGTGGATGTTATTTTGGAACTTTCAACTGGTCCGAGTGAGCTAACTGATTCTTTAGCAATAAACTGTGACTCCAAAAATAATATTCACTGACACTGACAGCAACAAGCAAAATATTCATCCGCTTCTGCTCCCGGATTTGTCGGTTTAGTCGTTTTAGCCTGTCAGATTAAAACAAGAAAACCGACAATTCCGAAGCAGAAGCGGATGACTAAAACGCACCTATTAAAAATATTGCGCCAAGATGTAGGCAACACGTAATAAGGGTTCAAAATGGCGGAGTTTTCTATCTACTTTTAAAAGGCACTCAGAAAGCTGCGCAGTGCGACCATTCTCCGTATAGTAAAAGAAAATTAAAGTATGTGTGGAAGAACACTAAATGACATAAGTCAAAAATAGCATCCGTTATGCTAAGTGCCCTTTGCAATATTGTTAGCGTGTTAAACATATAGAGTAAGATTCCAGAGCTATAAGACATGTGCTTTGAATACCTGCGTGCTTGTGAAGCTTGTCCTGTGACACCTGGGCAGGTACCAGGTGTAAAAGGTAACTAAAAATAAGAGTTACTTAACTTAAATTTGTTTGGTCGATTTTTAGATACATTTTATAGAATATTATTTTCAAGTAGTATCGCAAGTGTCAGACACTTTCCATCGACCAAAACTTTTGTAAGGCGCTTTAAAGCTCCACAATAAATAAATGAACTTCATATGTCCGATTTTAAAATATATTATCAAGATAACTATTACAAAATTATATTTAATCAGTCAGACAAATTGTAATGACCAAAAAACCCCTAAACACAATTGTTCGGCCGTGAGTGCGAGTGTGAGAGCACTATGCACATGCATTTCAGAGCAAAGAATTTAAATATTTAAAAAAGTACTTATTGCATATTTGTTAAAAATACTTAAAAAAAACAAAAGTAGGGGGTGTGGGTAGCTCAGTGGTTAGAGCGTTAGCCTGTGGACTCAGTGGTCCCGGGTTCAAATCCCAGCCAGGCCGGGATTTTGTTTAATTAACTAATTTATTTAAAAATTAATTCTGATGCCAAGGGATATTCTGTTTTCACAGTTTCTGCAACTAAGTTTATTCCAAGCAGAAGACAAGTAACGTGGACCATATTTGGATAAAATATTGTTAAGTTTTGCCATACTTTTATTTGATTTGGTAAAAAAATCTGCTAGAGATTGTTGTATAAATCGGATAACAGTTGTATTGTTAGTTTTTTCTAACTGTTTTGATGCAATTAAATATTATGTACCTTGTTCATTTTCTCTTAAGGCTCCAATCATAAGATGTACCATATATCTTCCACAAGCATCTGTGTTGTAAAAATTGCTATCATCCAGTAAAACTTTAATTTCGTCTATTACATTTGTATCTGTAGCATGTAAATTCGTCAGGAATATCTTAAGAAGGTAAAAACCCGGTGCATGCCAATTTGCAAAAACTAATTGACAAGAAGTAACGCTTAAAAATAAAACAAAAAATTAAAAAGTTCTTTATTTCAAATATATCTGTAAATTCTGTTTTCCAAACTTTGCTAAAATATGCAATATTTTCTGAACTTTGGTAAAATATGCAAAAATGCATATAATATATGCATTTTGCATATATTTCGCTCTTTAGAATAATGAATAATTATTAAAGTAAATTAATTTATTGCATATATTCGGTAAATAATTTTTTTTCGGAGTAATAATTTTAATTTTTTTTTTTTACCAAAGATAACAGTTTTGAAATTTTTAAGAAAAAATAATTTTAGTAATAAAAACTAACTATGGTTAGTAAGTGAGAGTATTTGATTTCTCTTATTCATCATGATCATCATCAGAATAATCATTTGAATTTTCATCATTGAGCCAGTCATATTGTCCATTCAAGTCATCATCCTCATCGTCATCAGTTATGTTGTCGTTGCTGCCAGCTTCTTCTGTAAAAAACAATTAAAAGAATTACAAAACATTAAACTACAAATATAAACCAAAAAATAAATTGAAAACCTGAAGTTAAAGTGCAGTACCTGGATCTTGAAGTGATTCACTAAAGTCTCTTGGTAATTCATCACCATCAAACCAATGAAAATGATACTGGTTTTCTTCTAACGTCCACCCATTGTTTTCTGGAGTAAAGATGGTTGGTTGTTTTTCATTTGCATTATTCCTTATGCTAGCAATGTAATTAGCTCGGAGAAATTGTTGAAATAACTCAGTTTTGCATGGTGGTAAAATGCCTGTAACAAAATTTTTTAAATTTTTTGAATTGAATTCTTCGTTTATATCAGAAACGGTGTAATTATTTAAAAACAGCTAAAGTCGGGTAGCATCAACGTCAAGTATGCCAGGAACATTATAAATTTTTGTACTTTGTTAAAAATATCCTGTTGTATGTGCTCATCTGTAAACTACTCTGGATTTCCAAATTGCATAAAAGCTAGCTGATATCCTTGCTTCTTCATCAATACATTAAAAGGTCTTTGTTTTAAAGTCACACCCAGTCAATTAGTGTTGCCGCGAGACGAGAGATTCTCGTCTCTCGTCTCGTCTTTTCTCGTCTCGAACGAGACGAGAGACATTTTCTCTCGAAAACAGATTCGAGACGAGACGAGACGAGAGAGTGTTATCTCTTGACGAGAATTTCTCGTTTCTCTCAAGCTCTCTCGGGCTCTCTCGGGCTCTCTCGAACAATTTTCTCTTTGCTTATTTGAAATTTTCAATTGCTTATTGTAACTTAAAATTTTAACATATTACATTTCGAGATAGTCAAAAAGTTAACTATAACACACCTATTCTATATATATTAAATGGTAACAAAGGATACTTGTGTTATTAGGATTTTATAAATAGTGATTTATAAGAAAAAATATTTCTCAATTCATTTATTTAAAATGTATGCAATCATTTCTTATATTTAATCCATTCTGCTGTTACTTTTGAAGATAAGTTGAACATTTTTAAGCGTTTTTTCGAAAAACTGTTAAAGAAAAGGTAATACACACGAATGTATTATATACAGTGAGGACAAAAATTGAACCTTCCTCTATTTTAACTTCTAAATGAAAAAAGATAATGACAAAACAAAAACGAGGTAAAACTCAAGAGATATTATATTTTTGTTATAACGAGATACACTTTACTTGAGACACGTAAGATAGAGGGAGTTACTAGCTTTAAATTTTTTAATGGAAAGTAGGGTCATGTGATACCTCATTTGATAGATATTTTCTTTATTTTTACGTTCATGTAAACACATTTAGATATTTTTGTTTTTACAGAAATTACATTAAATAAATTCATAAAGTAGGTTAAATTCTTTTTTTTATTTACCGCTTCAACCTCAAAGGATCATTACCGGAGGTATAATACCTTATAAATGCTGTTTTTTACAATAGTATACAATGTATAATTAACATTTTAGCAAGTGCAGAGTAAATGTCAGTATCTTTTATAAATTTAAGTAATTTTTTACTGTTAGAGGGATTTAACACTGCACAAATGGCAATTTTTTGTAGCTGGTACTTTGTTCTTGTACAGACAATCATGTTCTGAGCCTTTACTAATAAGTTACATTCTTGATAACTCTCGTATTAACAATTATTGTTTATTACCAATTACGTATTAAATTTTTCATAACTTCTTAGCAGAAAAGCTAATTAAAAAATTATATTCTAACATTTCTAGGATTATCAAGAATGTAATTTTTGTGAAAACAAAAAAAATTAAAACTGTTTGTTTGGACGTAAATATAATCAAAATATTTTTCAAATGAGGTATTACATGACTTTACTTTCCATTAGAAAATTTAAAGATAGTAACGCCCTCTATTTTACGTCTCAAGTAAAGTGCATCTCATTATAACAAAAATTTTATAATGTTTCTCTAATTTCACATCGTTTTTATGTCTCTATATTCTTGCATTTTAAAACCATACTACAAAATGCTTTCATTTAAAATCGCAGGATTGCATTAGAAAAATTCTAACTTCCAATTTAACCTCTTCCCCCCTCTCCAACTGACTTACAAGACTAAGTATTTTCGTTTTTAGTTAACGCCTAATCTGGGCCACTTATTACTTCAAATTTTAATTGTAAAACAACTGTGACAGACGGACAGATAGAGAGACAATTTTTTCATATTTTGTCTTTTTCAAATTTAAATTTGAAATTGTTTTATCACGAGAGAAACGAGACGGGACGAGACAAGACGAGAGAAAGGCTCTCTCGAGCGAGAGAAGCGCCTTCTCGTCGAGACGAGAGAACAGTTTTCTCTCGCCCTACGAGACGAGACGAGAGAGACCATTCTCTCGTCTCGCTTGTCTCGCGGCATCACTACAGTCAATGCATGAAATCCTGGTAAACTTCTCACAAAGATGTGCTCAAATGCTCGTATTTTTTTTTTAAATTAATGTATATTTGGTTATTTCCAGTGCATGCGTATTGGAATCATCATTTTTCAAATTATCCATATGTCCTAACATAATTATCCACATACACACTAGACTGAAACAGATTGTGAGTTTAAGAAAGAGAACCGAGTTACTATGGACGTTTCATTCGCTCTGAAACGCATGCATAGTGCTCTCGCGCTCATACTCACGGCCGAATAATTTTTGAGATTTGGGGATTTTTGGTAGTTACAATTTGTCTAACTGATTAAATATAATTTTGTAATAGTTATCTTGATAACATATTTAAAAATCAGACATTTAAAAATAAGTAAAGTTTATTTATTTTTTGTGGCGCTTTAAAGCGTCTGACAGAAGTTTTGGTCCATGGAAAGTGTCTGACTTTTGCAATACTGCTTGAGAATAATATTCTATAAAATATATCTAAAAATCAGTCATACAAATTTAAGTTAAGTAACTCCTATTTTTAATTACATTTCACACCTGGTACCTGCCCAGGTGTTACAGGGCAAGCTTCACAAGCACGTAGGTATTCAAAGCACAAGAGACGCTACTGAGAACTTAAGGTTTCATCTTTGAAAAAATAAGTTATGTCTTATCACGCTGGGATCTTGGACTAAAAGGATTTTTTGTTTTTTTTATTATATATTTGACTTTTTATATTATTTATATATTTAAAGACAGAAAATTACCTATACAGTAAGCAAAACATTCCAGATTATAGTTTGCTTAAATTAACTTTAATATTAGAAAAACAATAAATGTAATAAAGTTATCGAGTGACCCGCATCAACAAACTGCCGTTAATACCTATACATATCACGTCATCATCACTTAGGTTTTTATTTTTACTTCTATTACTATCTAAGAAAATTATTAAAAATATTCGCTAAAACATTTTCCGACGCAATTTAAAAATACCCTTCAAGCAGTTTTGATAAAGAATAGCCTGAGTCAGCCAAAGTAGACAATAATCGAGATGAAAATGCATGTAGCATACAGTTAGGACACTCAATATTAATATAGGAAGTTGATTAATTTCATTTTAATAATTCAAAAACTGAAAAACATATTGGCAGCGTCAGCGAGCGGGACGATATTGCCGCCGGGTATTGACAAATAGGCATAATCAAAGGGGGAAGATTTCAAGTTAGCATGCATGTGATATATACTTTGAGTATATTCAATTTCTAATCATATCATTATAAAAATGTGCTTAAGGAAAACAACACTAATTTAATTATGTAAATTCTGATTTAGAAGTTACAAGAAATATAAGAATATAAAAAAATCAACTGATAAATGTTCATATTATTTAAGGGTTATTTTAAACAATTTTTAATATTGTAAAATATTGAAAAGCAAAAAAATATACGTGTGGCACTCGGGAACTGCCACGGTAAAGCTATTGCATAGCATTTTTTATTAACTTATGCAATTATAATTATTTAGTTATTTTATTTATGCAGTATTTTTTTTCTTTGATATTAATTCAAGTTTTTCTTTGATATTAATTCAAGTTACACTTTTTGAGCGTGATAAGAAAACAAATTTTTTTCTTTTATTGAATAAATGAGAAGTAAATATTGTTTAAAATATTTGTATTATCTTACAATACATGTAGATTATTCAGGAATTTTTATCATTGAAACTATAGATTTATGGTAACGGAAATAAGAAACATAAGTTTAAGACTTGATATCCTCTAAATATCTGGAAAATACCGCGTCAATGGTGGTTTCATATTTTGTTGTGGATTCTTGTGGATTATTATTCATTTTCAAATTCAATTTTTCCGAAATTGTGTCAAAAAGAGATAGAATCAGTTAGCCGCTAGTCTACACGCATACGTCTAGTCGCACGCACACAAACACCGTGCCGAAGTCTGCCGAACTGAAACGACGTTAGACGATGCACGGCTTTCAACGCCTCACCGCTGTGCCGGTCGGAGTGGGGGTGTGATTTTTCGATTTTTCGAATTTTCGATTTTTTGATTTTTAGATTTTTCGATTTTTCTATTTTTCGATTTTTCGATTTTTCGATTTTTCGATTTTTCGATTTTTCGATTTTTCGATTTTTCGATTTTTCGATTTTTCGATTTTTCGATTTTTCGATTTTTCGATTTTTCGATTTTTCGATTTTTCGATTTTTCGATTTTTCGATTTTTCGATTTTTCGATTTTTCGATTTTTCGATTTTTCGATTTTTCGATTTTTCGATTTTTCGATTTTTCGATTTTTCGATTTTTCGATTTTTCGATTTTTCGATTTTTCGATTTTTCGATTTTTTGATTTTTCGATTTTTCGATTTTTCGATTTTTCGATTTTTCGATTTTTCGATTTTTCGATTTTTCGATTTTTCGATTTTTCGATTTTTCGATTTTTCGATTTTTCGATTTTTCGATTTTTCGATTTTTCGATTTTTCGATTTTTCGATTTTTCGATTTTTCGATTTTTCGATTTTTCGATTTTTCGATTTTTCGATTTTTCGATTTTTCGATTTTTCGATTTTTCGATTTTTCGATTTTTCGATTTTTCGATTTTTCGATTTTTCGATTTTTCGATTTTTCGATTTTTCGATTTTTCGATTTTTCGATTTTTCGATTTTTCGATTTTTCGATTTTTCGATTTTTCGATTTTTCGATTTTTCGATTTTTCTATTTTTCTATTTTTATATTTTTATATTTTTCGATTTTTCGATTTTTCGATATTTCGATATTTCGATATTTCGATATTTCGATTTTTCTATTTTTCTATTTTTCTATTTTTCTATTTTTCGATTTTTCGATTTTTCGATTTTTCTATTTTTCTATTTTTCGATTTTTCGATTT